ACTCCTCAGAAGGAAGGTTGGGCAATCTACTTCCACAGAGATACCACCTTGGAAACCCAAGGAGGGCTTGCTATGAGTTAGAATCCACTCGATGGCAGCGAGTTTGGTTTGACTCTTATGAGTTTGGTTGTTGAATGCCTGGAATTGAAACACCTAAGAATATTTTGTTTCTCTTGCTAAAAATTTCCCCAAGTAAACTGTACAGTCCCATCCTGTATTCATGTTCTCAAAAATAGGGCTCCTTGATCAAAGATGTTTGGGAAATGCTGTCAGTTATATCCCTCTCTGATTGATTCACAAGTCCCATTCAATGGAGACTCCATTTGCTATAGTTCTGGCAATGTCCAGCTATCCTGACCAGCTCTCCCATTGAAAACATACAAATGCTGGATAAAATTCCTTTGTAACAAAATATTTTATATGAGCTAGCTGTAAACCACGAAACACAAAGATTAAAAAGAAAAATGTGAAAATAGGAACTCTAAGAGATTTTTGGGCGATACACCTGGCTTTTGACCAAAGGGCATTGGTTGACTCCCAGGTGAATTTGAGCTGCTGTTTTCATGGCCTCCAAGGCATGGAGAACAAGAGACATAGTCTAGGGCCACCAAGGTGATGCTGTTGTTAAGGTTCTGTCCATTTGGTTCCAATCACAGCGACCCTGTAACAAAATGAAACACTGCCTGATCCTGCACCATCCTTACAGCTGTTGCTGTGTTGGAGCCCATTGTTGCAGCCACTGTCAATCCATCTCATTGAGGGTCTTCCTCTTTCTCACTGAGCCTGTACCTCACCAAGCATGATGTCCTTCTCCAGGAATCGCTCCCTCCTGATAACATGTCCAAAGTCCATGAGACGCATTCTCACCGTCCTTGCATTCTGGCTGTACTTCTTCCAAGACAGATTGTTCATTCCTTTTGTATCCTGAATATTCTTCACTAACACCATAATTCAAATGTGTCAGTTCTTTTTGAGTCTTCATTGTTCACTTTCATGTGCATATGAGTTGATTGAAAATGCCGTGGTCTGGGTCAGGTGACTTGGGTCAGAGGTCTGTTGCAGCAGATTTGTCCAATGAGATATGTCATTTGATTTCTTGGCTGCTACTTCCATGGGTGTTGATTGTGGATCCAAGTAGAATGAAATTCTTGACAACTTCAATCTTTTCTCCATTTATCATGATGTAGCTTATTAGCCCTGTTGTTAGGCTTCTGTTTTCATTATGTTGAAGTGTAATCCATACTGAAGGCTGTAGTCTTTGACCTTCATCAGTCAGTGCTTCAGGTTCTCCTCACTTTCAGCAAGCAAGGTTTATCTGCATGTCTTCAGTTGTTAATGAGTCTTCCTCCAGTCCTGATGCTGTGCTCTTCTTTATATAGTCCAGCTTCTTGGATTATCTGCTCAGCATATATTCTTTATTTGGGGTGGTGGTGGTGCTGCTGGTGGTAGTGGTGGCAAATCCAGGCACGGCTTATCTGTGTGCTGCAATCGATGTGCTGGCCAGGGTTGGATTCTCCTCTGAACGCTCAACTTCAGCATATATTCTTAAACACCTAAAGCTGAGACCCTACAGGGTTCCTCCTATAGAAGAAGGAGAACAGACCTAAACCATGTCCCTCCATTCCTCCCTCCAGGCACTGGAAGAAAAACCGTGGTACTTAGTGAGTAATTAAAAAACAAAAAAGCACCTCCAATGAGACTCCATAACTAAAAGCTAGCCCATGTGTGGTTTCTAAACCTGAATCCACACTTTGTGCATTATCTAAAAACCTCAAGCTGATACTAGCTTAAAATGATCTTGGAGATGTTAGTGCTCCTGACGCTTGGTAGAGACACATGCAGATCCTCACTCAAAAGAGCCACTGTCAACCTAGGCCTCCAAGAATTGTCACAAATGAAATGCCAGTAATGAGAGCTCACAGTGAAAACAAGCACAAATACAAGGAAATAAGGCACGTTGAACAAGAGGCAGCAGAATCCTAGCAAGACTTCAGATACTGAAAGAATCAGACAGACACAGAATTATGTAGAACAGTGCACTTATTATATTGAAATTCAAAAAGGAATTGAAGATATGAGTAAGGAGCAAGAGATTATTAAAGTGACTAAGTAGACAAGAAATAAGACAGGTAGAAAGAAGACAGGTCAAATTTCTATATAGTAACAATAGAATAATTGAAATTTAAAACCTGAATGGGGTTTGGAAGGTAGATCTGAAGAAAACATCCAGAATATAGCACAGAAAGGAAAAAAAAAAAAATTGGGGAGAGAGGAGAATAGAAGAGAGGGTCTAACATAGGGTTATCTGGAGGTCCAGAGAGAGAAGAAGACTAGGCAGTATTTAGAGATGAAGGATGAGAACTTTCCAGAACTGCTGAAAGACACAGTGCGTTTTAAATGAGCTGAGAAGTCCTGAAGAGTACAGAGGGAAGAAAGCCCTGAACTTGCGTATCCAGTATTTCTACACCGATTTGACCATGGGAACCTTTTTTTTTTTTTT